CATCGGGAGGCCACTATGGCACGGGGCAAGCACTATGGGCAGTCTATCTGAAGTGTACCTGGCGTATAAGATGACCCCCCACTTGGAGGCATATTTTTCAGGGCCAAAAAATCGTCTTATACGCCGGCAAATACGGTATATGTAAAGGTATTGGGTCAATTATCAAACCCTTTATTGGCTTTTTCCCTTCTTTCCATGAAAATATTCATTTTTTTTCCTTACTCATAAAATAAAGAAAAGCCCCCTTTCAAACAAGGTCCAGCTTCCCTCTTGATCTACTGCAGTTTTGTCTTTTCATTTGGGTTCATTTGTTGCAAAACAAACAAAAGCATACATTTGCAATCTAATTCTTCACCTTTAATTTAGTCCTTAATTCCTTGCATTTTTTGGTTTACTGATGGCAGCTCCAATGTCTGCAGTTTCTACAACATTTCATTTTTATCATTGCTACTCTTTCAAATGTTTGCTTTGGTTTTCTTGATCCTGCAGTCTTCTGTGTTTAACTTCTTTATCTCTTCTTCCTTTCTTGTAATGTAAATGAGGTATTCCTTCACTGCTGTCCTAGGACCCCCTTTCTGTGCATTCACACTCTCCTACCCTTTGCTTACCTAGGCCCATCAGTATCATGATTAGCTGAAGTTATCCCTTCCATCCCTTCCACCTAAATCTAATTCTTCTTTTCCCGGCTTCTATCCTGTGTTATTCTAGCTATTAGTTTCCTCAGATGTTCCATTGTGAACTTAGATTTAGCATGTTTCCTATTAAATTTATCATCCGCCCTTCCTGTTCTTCTGATTTTGTTTTTGTTGATGCTTTCGTAGTCATACATAAATGGTATTTCTATTCTCTTCTAATTTCATTCTCCTTCAGTCCTGTTAACATACACCCTAACCTTTATCTAGTTCTTCCCACTATTTCTGTCCTTTTATCAGGCTCTTTATCTTCTGGGCAGTCTGCTTAAGTGTCTTTCATTCTTATCTCAAATTAATCTTTCTTTTATTTGCTCAGTACTTTCAAGAACTTGCTATTACTTATGGAATGAAATTCAAACTTCTGGACTTGGCATATGAAGTTTTTTTATGTGTTGATCCTAGTTTATCTTTCTTTCCTCATTTGTGATCTTTAATTGTCCCTTACAGCTAATCATCTGAATTCTTACTCTTATTGTATTTTCCTGGATTTTTTCTTTAGTCGCAACTTCTCATGCCCAAGTTCTACAGATTCTCAGGGCCTAGCTCAATCACCCTAAGTTGGTACCAGTCGTCTTCTCATTAAAAGTAATTTGTCTTCTTCCAAATGCATGTCCTTTAGTTTTGTAGGAGATGAATAAATAATAATTTTCTACCTTATCACTCTTACACTAATTACTTATTTTGCCCGTCTTCTAGACTGTAAGACTGTTGAAGATGGGATCTATGTCTGTTTTCATCTTCGCCCATAGCTCCTACCACAGTGCTACATATTAGATAGATAATAAATTTTTGTCACATTGATAAATGTTATAGGATACATGTTAAAAAGGTCTTAGATATCCAGTGTGTACCATGGTAGAAATTGAGAAATTAAAAAAAAGTTTCTTTCATTCCTTAAGGAATTTATATAAGAGGAGCTAATACAATGTTAAGTTTCTATATATGATTTAATTTGTCATACAAATTGTAATGACTCAAATGAATTGTTTCTTTTTTGAAGAATTTCATTTGATTCAGTATTCCCAGCAAAATCAGCTGTTACTTAGTCTCTTGCTGACTTATATTATACATTTTTTTTCCTAATGGGGAAAGTTTTGACTCTTGTATTTGTAAAAGCACACTTATTCAGGCATTCGAGTTTTAGGATCATAAATTTAAAGAAATTATATTTCCCCAAAGATTGAAAGTGGTACTTTGAACTACTTTGAAGTTAACATTATGTAGTATTAAATTATACTGAGGAGTGATAAAAATGACTTAAGATGAACAATGAACATGAAAGAGCTAGATGAGAATCTAGCAGTAAAAGTGTTTGTGTGATAGCTTAGTTCATGACAAATAGCAGTCTGATAAGAGTATTACTGACTACATACAAGGTTGTTTCTACCCCCTACCCCCTCTTCCACCAATGTTTTTTCTTACTATTTTCTGTATATCTTTGCCCATTAAATTGGTACAGTTGGTGAATGTATCTTTGGAATATAGACAATAATAGCACATTAGGCTGAAGATTGAGGGATTTTGTCTCAGTCTAGTCTGAAGATTGAGATTTGTTCCAATCCAAAGCTGCTAAAATGTTTAGCTAATGATTGTATTAGCTGAAGAATAATATCAGGAAATGTCCTGGAATGAACAAACAATTCTTGATTGGTGAGAATCTCTTAGGAGCTTGTGAACATACTGATTTCTGCGTTTTGATTGTGGCAAAATGCTCATCATTTAATAATGAACTTTAGAGGTTAGTCATAGAATATATTACTTGTATGCACTGTTGGGTAGAGGGATGATGCTGTCAGGAGAACATAAGGCCTAATATTTCCACATGCAGTGAAAGGTTAAAGACGATCAAAATATTATATAATTGTGAAGGGAATATAAAAACTGGGCTTTTAGAGCCTTAGACCTTACCTATAAAAGTTCTGTGCCGCTTGTTAGCATGGAACCGTTGGCATGGTATTTCATCTCTTTGAGTCTCAACTTAGTTGTTTGTAATATGTCACAATTAAATACCTAGTTATTGTAAAATTTAATGAATTTCCAAATTTTCTTAAGTTTTTTAAATTGTGAATTTCTTGAAATTCACAGTCTGCCTAATGATAGAAATATTTCCAACACATTAACTGGATCTTAAATATATTTCTGGGCTTTCAAGATAACTTAATCTAGAACATACTGTTTACGGATGAGGAAATTGAGACCAAGTGATTTGTTAAGTGATTTACCAATATCACATGGTTGTAAATGAAAAAATAATCTGGTCCTTTATTTTTACTGTTCTGTACTGCCTCCTTTGTTTAATTACTGGTATGTGTACATTTCTTAATTTGGTTTCAAGGGCTCTCTTGTTCTTTGTAGGGCTGATTTTCTTACCGTTCTTTCAAATGCTCACATTATTTAACATTGTTCTGGCTGAAACACCTGTAGTTTTTTTTTGCTGTTGTCACCTGCCATTTAGGAACTTGTATTATGACATTTTCTTCTGTTAAGCTTTTTTATGTTACACCATTGGAAATTTTCTGTGCGTACCACGGTGAATTCAATTTTAGAATGGAAACCAACATCTGGAGACTTGAAAGTATGATCAGATCTTAATGACATAAGATAAAATAAAGAAACTTTACTAAAGTGAAGATATTTTATCTGTTCCTCAATTTGTGTTTTGTATTTTAGGTAGAAATAGAGAAGCTGAAAAAAGCAGTCCTGTCTTGAAGCGGCCGGACCTGATGTTTCTATTGTTACAGGAACTCAGAAGCAACACTATGAAACTGCAACTGACTTGTTACTTAAAAATAACAAATGCTGATGTGATGAAGAAATATGGGTATTTGAACTATAATATCTATAGAAAAGTAGGGGGAGCGTGAGTTTTTTTTTTATATATTTTGTTTTGCCAATATGGAAAAAAAAGAGGCCTTATTTCTTATGAGCTGGGATTGCAAACTTTTTTTTTTAGTTTGCTTGAAAATACTACTGAATCTGTATAAAAAGAAAGTTCACAATAGTTTTTTTATTGAAACTTGTATTATTTTTAAAGAGATCTATACTATAAATATGGTGATATCTTTACAAATAATCTGTAAAATATACTATTTGAGAGGGACAAATTAGCTTTATAGTAACTATAGTCACTACTTTTCCCATACATACATAATACATAAGGGATATAAACTTTGTGTACATATATATATATATATAGATTTTTTTTTCATTTTTAGCTTCTTTCCCAGGATTACACTGTTGTGCCTGTTTGTTTGCAGTGCTGTTTATGCTCTAGGTTATGATATAGGAGCTTCCTAGCTATATACCAGATTACTCACCATGCTTATAGTAATAACTAATGAAATAATTTCTTCAGCCTTTAGAATATTTTATATCGCTTGCACTATAGGATTCATAAAAAGAATTTAATTAAGAGGTATTGGATTGTTAAATATATTTGGGAAAATATGAGCTATATTTTAAATTCATTAGGTCTAAAGAACTAAAAATGTCAGTTTAATTCTTAACGTGTTGTGCCTAGAAACTACAGCACATGTAATACGCAAACACCAGCCTTATTGCTGTACTTTTCTGCTTATTTTACAGGCGTAAATGTCACTCATTTCATGATCTTAATTCTTTATGCCCCTCCCTCTGATTTTTAATAATGGTAATATTAGGAAAACAAAACTCAAAATTTAAAATTAAGTGTGAGGTTTCATACTTTTGACAAGTTATCATTATGTAAATACTCAGGTTTTACAATGTGTAATTTATGTAATAGACCAAACTAAGTGGTGGAGATATTTTGGACTGTCATTTAGGAACCAACTTTACAAAGAGGGTTAGTGTATCATAAAATGTAACATTGTAGCTTATTTAAAACCAAAGGTAATTGACTATGTTCAAAATTCATTTTCACAAGATGGATAAATTAGTTCCTTCAGAGTCACTTTACAAAAAGTTGAAAAATTTTAAATGTTATATCTATAGTCTCAAAATGTGAGGTTTTATATTAAAAGTAGAAATTTGATTTTTCATTTGCAAAAATATTTAGATTTTAAGATTTATTGTAGCAAATAATTTTCAGATTTTAAGTACCATCTATCATGCTTCCATTTTATGTTATTTTAAACCACCAAACCAACATTTTTGCTTTAAGTTTTGATCTTACACTACTGAAATCTTGTGTTAATGAAATTTTGTTAGTCTTTCAAATAAAAGAACTGAAGTAGAAAATAATAAGAAATTCTAATACATAATTACTGAATGTTAAATTCACAACTTATATTAGTGCTTTTGGGGAAACCTGATTGTATTGAGTATGTACATTTTAACTCTTTAAAATCCTTAGGCTCTTCTGATGAGGTCACTACTGAACACA